TCACCAGTCATCAGTAAATCAGATTTGAAAATATACCTTTTCCAAGGTACAGTAGCCAGCGCTATAGATCTGTACATTCTAAAGAAAGCAGAATGGTGATAATAATGGTGATAGGTTCCATAAATGCTTACTCTTCATTGGAGTTGTTCTAATTTTTCAAAACCGGATTTCTTTATTAAAAACTTTTTAAATTTTCATTTTCATATAAGAGATACTCTACTTACTTGCTTATTTGTCTATAACAGCCCGTTACCGTATAAGAGGTACTCTACTTACTAGCTTATCTGGCCATAACACCCGCTACCGGGTTTCAACCTGACGCAGCATGATCTTACGAAGAACAGCATACAATCTTACGAAGAGATACAATCTTTTATTTTTAAGAACAAATTTAATTTAGAAATGGTCGTCTGCGTTTAGAAGTTTTATTTTAATGACAAACGTCTATGTCGACATTTTAGTATAATTTACCTTTTATAGGTCATTTATTTGCCATTCCCAGTTATTTTCTATTAAAGAGTTAAGGTGAGGTTCGACAGCATTAGCATCAATAACTAATACTATTTTTAGAGCAAAATAATTAACTCGACATAGGTGTATGAAGAATTATTATTCATTTTTCATACAAAATTCACAAGAAATCTATACAAAATTCATACAAAAATATGTTAAAGTTTTGATTAGTACCAATGCAAGCTTAGCACATATAACTCATACACATTATTTTATATATATTGTCTGGAATATCCACAAATTTATATCAATAAGTAACTACACCTCTCATTTAAAATCAACGATTTTAAGAACTACATATATGGCATTTGGCATGTGTAAATGTTTATGGTAATCATAGATCAATTTCTTATCGTGAAACTTATATGCACACATCTAAAATTTCAATAGTTGGGCTTATGTTTATTATAAATATACTAATACTGGTAATACAATACTTCCTTCGAATAGCCAAGACATCTTTAACGACATTAACTTACAACTTTTTATATTAAATTAATATGAAAAATTGTAATAATAATAGTTCAATTAATTATTAACATTATTAATTATTGTTTTTGTTTGTCTTCAATAAATATATTCTTCTATTAACTGTACACCGCCTTCCACTTCATATACAAGCCACGCAATATAATACATACGTTCATTAATACCATAGTATGGTCTTAAAACAGAGCCATTTTAGTTTCTAACATTTCATCAAATTTGATGTTTCACAAAATAAAATTAAAGCGAATATTGCAGTAAATAATTTTATTCTTCAGATTTATTCTTGATGAATGGGATTTAAGTTTTTTTGATAGAAAAGAAATGTGTCTATTTTATATTAACAGAAGCCATCAAAGCTGTAGACAACAAACATTCTATATTCGATTCACACTTATATATTATGAAGTTGTAATTTAGTGCATGATTATAGCACTATATTGGCTTCAAAACATAAGGTTTTCAACGTTAACTTTAAGCAAGGAAGGACTTAGCTTTGACCAGAAGTTGAATCAACTATTTAATTCATATATGTAAATTTATATGTAAGTTTATGACAATAAGACAAATATATATATATATATATATAAAACAAAATATTAGGTGCATACCAACTAGAGGTTCAAGACCTTCAAAAACTCCTTCCGCAGAAGCTGGTTCGATTCTCGAGATACTAAGTGACTGCACAATAGATCAAGCTGGTTGCAGTGCATAAAGGTCTTAGCCCAATCCATAAACCATTTCCATTACCATACCATGAATATAAATATATACTATATAAATATATATATAATAATATATTATAATATATATATATAATATAAAATATTATATATACATATAATATATATATATATATATATATTCCAACGAACATTCTTTTTATTATCCGCTTTAAGATATTTTAAATTCTTTCACGTAATGTTAGTATTCATATAGTTTAAATCATTCAACAATACTTTAAAGTACGAACACATCAATCTAAAAGGTACTAAAAATGGTGTTGGTACCTTTATATTGTAGAAATGATATCCTCTTCCTTTCTAGAGCCAAGGGCTGTATCAACGGAAAATGTGAAGTGTTGCCATCTCCATAATTTTTATATATATTCAAATCTTTTGCTACTTTCAACGCATTTCATTAATAATTCATAACGTCGTTCGCAAAGTTAACTCCTTTATATTACGCTCATCTGCCTACCACCTCTGCTGCAGAACAGCAGAAGAGCAGAACACCCACATTCGGGCCCATTATCCTCAAAAACGACATCAACCATTCAAATTGCAGGCAATTTTTCAAATCATTAATTTTACAAAATAATTCAGCAATTCATGCATAATATTCGTAGACATGCAAATTTTGCATTTCATGAAACTTACGTTCCGCATAAATAAGCGCCACTGTTGGTCTAAACTCACGCTCCGGCTGCTACCCCTGCTCCGGTTTCTGCACATTTCCACGAATCCGCCGTTGGTACAATTTGTTAAGTTTTTGTGAATCGTGGGTTAGCCCATCGCCAGAGCGAAGTATAGTTGCAATAAGCATATCCTGGTGCTTTTGAATTTTGATTTTTTTTCTTCATTTTTTCAATTTAATTTTAATTAAATGAAAATGCACTACGGAACTCAGAAATTATACTTCAAATATAATAAATAATGCAAGAAGATATACTAAAATTTATTCTATATTGTTTGGTCTTGAAACTAGAATAAAATATTAGTTAACTTTTTTTACTGAGAGGGTTTCCTTTCTCTAAATAAAATTTGATTCCAATGAAAGACTATATCGACATTAGACAATCATAAAGTATAATGACTAACAAACTATTATTTATTGATTAATTTATTGCAAATATAATAATTTTAAATGATATAGTTTATCTGACACTTGAGTTCCTTTTAACTAATAAGTTTATCACAAGCTGAATCTTAAAGGATAACTAACTATTGAAACGTCATTCATATGTTTATAGAGCAAATATCACGACTTGTTGTGAACATCTACTATTTTGTATTTTTCTATTTATTACGAGGGCTGCTATATAGTATATTTCTGGCCTAATAATGAAAATGCGAATATTTGTCATCAAAAATTGTTTTATTGTTTTTCAAAGTATTCCCCAGCCTGATTTATACACTTTTGTATGCGCTCAAACCAATTGTCGAAACACTTTGTTCACTCCGATTGAGACACCTCTAAAACATGGTTTTTGAACGCTTCAACAGCATCTTCTGGCGACGAAAATCGTTGACCACGCAATTTTTTTCCTGATAAAAGGAGTCTTTGGGCGCCAAGTCAGTGCTGTATTGCGGATGACCTACCAATTCGATGTTTTGGCCGATCAAAAAGGCTCTGGTTTGAGCCGATGTGTGAGAGCGCGCGTTGTCATGGTGAACAATGATTCGTCTTCTCTTGTTCGTTTTTCTAATTTCTCCGAAGACTTTAGGCAAACAAATTGTGATGTGCCACTCAGAAGTGACCGTCCTTTGTTGCTCAAGCGGAACAGTTGCCACATGACCAAAAAACAGGCGACCATTTGCTCCGAAGTGCTTCTTCCACGAACAACTTTCGTTAGATTTGGCTCTTCGTCTGCGAAGACCCACACGGTCGATTGTGACGATCTTATTAATGTCGTTTGAAGCACCGCGGATGTATTTTTTCAATATTTCTTTACACCAATCGACACGAGCCTTTTTTTGAGCGATTGTCAAATTCTGCGGGATCCAACGAGAACAAACTTTTTTTACGGCCAGGTGTTCATGCAATAACGAATATATGCTGATGGGAGAAATGCATGACGTACTAATAATATTAAATATTAATTAATAAAAAAAAAATTTTTCCATTATTTAAAAATGATTAATTTGTGCAATTTAATAATGTATAATATTAATATATATAACTCATAATTAGAGTAAATGCAATTTAAATTCTATTAGTAATTCCATTAGTATGGTTGTATTTTCTTATACCTTTTCATATGTGGATATGTGAAAATGATTACGATTTTCCCATGACTTCAGCAATTATAAGTAGAATTCTGAGACTCAAAGTTTTATTAGTTAATTCTCACATAAATCAAATGTTTAACTTATTCGCAGTGGAGAAAAGGAAGGATTTATCTCATAATTCATCTCGCAAATTGCCAACGAATTACAAATTAATTTAAAGGCTTAACTTGTCGCTTCCTGCCGAAACCATGAAAATTCGAATTATACTCTTTTTTTGTGAATTTTTTTGTCATTGGGTCTTCGTACAAAAGCAAATATATTTCAATTACAAAATAAAATATTCAAAATTCTAACAAAATAATAAATATTGCAGAACAAATTAAACTGCCTGAGCGTAAATATCAATATTTGCATAAATTAGCAACGCTTCGATCCTCACGTGCGTCGCAAACGATAACTTTCAGATGCAGACAATACGTTTTTCCTCTCCATCCTTAATATCCTTGATATCCTTCATATCCTTTTTTTCAATTTTCAATTTATTTATTTGCCTTTGGATTCCTTTCATTTCTGATACTTTATTTCGTACACTCTGCGTTTTTTATTTTTTGGCGTAAAATTAATAAACCTTAGCGAGATGCAAATGCAACCCTTAATGTCCTCGACGCAGTATTTTTATTAGCAAAACTGTGAAATATTAACATTTCTGAATTTTAAGTCGTCTGCAATATACCACAGTACAAGGATAATTTTATGCGAAGACCGTGTTGGAGAGAGAGACGGAAGGACAGCACTGCGGCGGGTAATACAATATTTGATACTGGCAAATACAATTTAATCTTGCGATAGCGTGACCAATTAATTTGATTGTAAAATTAGTATTAAAATCAAATATAACAAAAATGACACGCTATATGACAAGAATATTAAAAAGACGACTAAGGGGTGGTGTAGGGCGCAGGCAGTGAACTCAAGCTCATGCAGACATTCAACTAATAATGCACACCAATATAACAATTGAAAGACAAAGACGCAAATTAACATGAAGACATGGAGGAACTTCAGAATATGTCTATAACCAGAGGCGTTTATCATCTGGTTTTGCATGGTAAGGATTTCATACGTGAACGTATACGCGTATGAAGGCAGTCTTTGGTAGTGTTGAGCAAATATTAATATTCATAAAGTCGACATTGGTCGTAATTTTTATTTAACAGCGCATACGCAGGACCACCCCAAAGTAAGCGAAAACACTGTTAATAAAATTAAAAAGGCAAGGACTAAAATTATTCAAAATCTGCGCAAGGCTTAAATCTTTTAAAATCTTCATAATACGGCTTACTACTTTTTGAGGTGCGATACATTTTCAACGAAATTTTCGCATGAAATACTTTTAGCAAATAATTTTGTATTAATATATACATATATTTATGCAATATTTCTATAAAAAATGTCATAGCTCCACTTTCAGGAAACATTTCTGTTGAATTATCAAAAATAACACCCTTACCATTTAGGCATAGTTGACTTCCCCAATACTTAAAAACAACAAAAGCCATGAATAAGGTGCTACTATGATGTCTTTGACTTCTCCGAGCTGCATGAAGAACTACACAAGTTTCTGGAACACATTTGTGTAGAATATAATTTATGGTAGATAATTTACTAAAGGTCTAGAAGAATGATTATTATTCATTCAAATGTAAATTTGTTTTTCAGCGCAGGATATAAGAAACCTACAAACCACTCTAGTAACTATTGGTATGTTGACTATAGTAACACTATAATAAAAACATATTAATAATGAAGAAGAATGCTCAATGAAGAATTGACAAAATTAACAAAACATTTCAGTTCCCAACATTAAATATATAATATCTACAAAATACTCTATTAACATAGAAATGTGATCTCAGAAGAAACCCTTAGTGA